CTTCAATATTACTGGTAAAATAATATTAGCATTTACTTTTTTTGTACAGTACTATTGATATATAATATAATGTGTATTGTTTATTTAGTAAATTCTAGTAGTTCAGAAATTTTGATATTTTTTGTCAAATTTAAAAGAATAATTAAATAAATGTTACTACACCTAAAAATCCTTTTTTTTCAGTGTATTGATGATCAAATTGTGATTACAGTTATAGTTTATGATCAGCATTTACACAGTAATCTCAAAACAAACTACTTTTTCATTTTCTATTTTCTGTTTCTATTCTTCTACTGTAGAGTACCTTAAAACTTTGTATTTGTTGATGCTCAGTGAAGTGAAAGTTAAACCTTTAATGTTTTGGAGTTTAGGGGCAGCAGATCAATGAGGCAGCTTGTGACCTGGCCAGGGAGGTGGCCGATGAAGGCGATGCTCTGGTGGCTGGAGGGGTGTCTCAGACTCCTTCTTTCCTCAGCTGTAAGAGTGAGGAGGACGTCAAGGCCATCTTCAAGAAACAGACTGACATCTACATCCAGAGAAACGTTGACTTCTTGATCGCAGAGGTGCGTGACAAACACAGAAACTAGGTTTAATCTCACTTAGCTGCAGTTCAAACAAACAATAAACCTGGCTTTCTTTGAAAGAATGCATATTGCTTTTATTTCCTGAGTTTAAACTGAGAGCATCTTATGTTTGGAAAAGACTTTGGGCACATTTTCACTGTGAGATTTTAAGGGATCTGTCAGAGCTCAAAGTACGTGTTGAGGATAACTCTCAGCCGCAGTAAACTTTAGCTTATTATCCATAGATCTGATTGAATTATAGCCAGTTATGTGTTTGCTGAGGTTGATTAGGAATAAATAATTATTAATGAATACAACAACAAAGTCTATGTTTTTGCAGCAAGTGTCCCAGACTGCTGCAACAAAAAATAGCTGCTGCTGTCATTATGACCCCCGCACGTGAAGCGTAAGCCGGAGTCATATTGTTTTCGTACTGTTTTTTTTTTCCTCCGGAGATTTTTGGTCGACCGTAGCACAAAATTGACTGCACCGATCACAATGAAATTTGTTAGGACTGTAGATGAGTCTGACCTACTCTGCGCCAGCCAACGATTTTATGATGGACCCCATATTTGAGGAGAGGGCTCCTTTCAAAGTGAGGGTGACAGGACATGCAAAATCGCTTATAACTCAGAAACTGTTCAACATAAAAGCTTCAGATTTATTTTGTTGTTTAGCTCTGATGAGGCTCTACCCATCAGGCCCACTAATCAGTGCCCCCCACCCCGGGCCCCCAATTTATCTGAAAAAGAAGTATGATAATAGCTCAAAAACTATTAAACATAAGAGCTTCAGATTTCTTTGGTTGTTTAGCTCTGATGAGGGGCTATCCATCAGGTCCAACACCCCCCGCCACACACCCCCGCACACCCCCCCAAAAAAGACCCTCACCCAAACAACTACAATTTTGGGATGCACAACATTTATTAGGAAAAAAGGTGAGGGAAACTGGCAGGAACAAACCCAGGGTGCAGGCAGGCTCAAAAAAGTATAACAAAAATTTATTAAAGGGTAACAAAAACTGCTGTAAGGACAGCTCAACTTACAAAAACCACGGAGATAACAAAGGCAGGGGACAAAGCACAGAGAACCATAACAAACAATGATCCGACACAAGACTGAGACAGGACAGGGTTTAAATACACAGAAGACTAATGACTGAAACACAAAACACCTGAGGAGAAACACAAGGGTGACAATCAAGGTAAATGTGGGGCAGCTGGGCAAAGACACACTGGGGAACATAGAAAACACTAGGAAAACTAAGGAGAATAAACAAAGACTATGACACTTGGAATGCGAACAGTATCCCTCTAAAACTGTTCAGTTGTGCTTTAAAATAATTTAAAAAAAAAAACAAGCAGTTGACCATTCTGTCAACTCAGCAAGGTCAGTGGGAAACACAAAGATAACCAAATGATATCTAAGAATGGTTATTGTTAGCAGATCTTGTTCTGACTTTAATCATTCTATCTGCAGATGAACGTAAGATGTTACGTAAAACCCACTATCTGTAGAT